TATGGAAGGCTTTCCTGTGCCGAATGCTAATTGCGGGTATGTGCTGCAATCGATGGAGGATAGGGGTAGAGAGGCTTTCAGGTAAGGTGGTGAGAAGGAGTTGCAAATCTTAGCTATGGAAGACTTTACTCTGCTGGATGCTAATTGCTGTTATGTGCCGAGATCGATGGAGCGAGGAGATCTGCAACATTGTCATTAATCAATGCTGGGTCCAGGTACTTCAATTGCATGTATGGTAGATCCCCATAGTCCGGGGCTGGAAGACCGGTCAGTCTTCTGTAGGGCTGCAACAACTAATCGATTATTGAAAAAGTTGTCAACTTTTTCAATAATCGATTAATCGGCTTATCAGTTGGCCCTGTTCACAGCGCCGCGCGCCGCACCTCCTCCCCACCTCACGCTCGCCGCTGCCAGACCCGCTCGCATCCACACGCCGCACCTCCTCCCCGCCTCACATTTCCTGCCCATACACATCCACGATCGGCACAGGGACGCGGGGAGATGTAGTAAGGAGGAGCAAGTGTGGGGGGATGACAGCTGCTGATAGACAGGTCCGATCTCAGAAGCAAGTTGCTGGAAGACTGCTCAGGTAAGCCTGCACTTTCCCCACACATGGTGCTCTATAATGTATTGCTGGGATTTGTATTCCTCTATAGCTGATGGTATAATATACAGCACAATGTACCATCAGCTATAGAGAAATACAAATCCCAGCAATACATTGTACACTGTATGTATAATGTATTGCTGGGATTTGTTGTACTCTTCTACAGCTGGTGGTATTCTGCATTGCGTTGTATAATGTATTATTGCTGGGATTTGTTGTACTCTTCTACAGCTGGTGGTATTCTGCATTGCGTTGTATAGAGGACTACAAGTCCCAGCAATAATACATTATACAGCGCAATGCGGAATACCACCAGCTATAGAGAAGTTCCACAAATCCCAGCAATAATCCATTATAAAGTGGTACAATGCTAAATACCACTAGCTATAGAGGACTACAAAACCAGCAATAGTACATTATACAGCGCAATGCAGAATGCCGCCAGCTATAATGTACTATTGCTGGGATTTGTTGTATTCCTCTATAGCTGGCAGTATTCTGCATTGCGCTGTATAATGTGCTTTTGCTGGGTTTTGTAGTCCTCTATAGCCGGTGTTATTCTGCATTCATTGCTGTAGACATTTTACACTTTCCATTTCACTATATTGCACACCACACTTTTTTTTTTTCTTTTTTAACTTCCACCGCTCCAAGCTTGCTCCTGGGATGGACTACAATCTCAATACAAACTAGTAGTCCTATCACTGGAGCCATTTTTTAAACTTTATTTTATTGGTTATCCGATTAATCGAACCTAATAATTGGCTAACTAATCGATTTTGAAAATAATCGTTAGCTGCAGCTCTAGCTCCTGACCCAAGAGAGGTCTATAGGATTCTATTGCATATGCGCAGGCAGCCGGAAGTAGAAGACGCACCACCCTCAGGAAAACATTTCCAGAACTGTATTAGTATTCAGTGGCGGGATGGTGGGTTATATCAGCCCAGCGAGACAGGGAAAGGATGAGGAAATGTTCAGAAAATATATTTTGTAAGTTTCCTTGTCCCCTAAAAGTCAATCATAAGGAAATTATATCAATGTTTTTCAGTATGTTGCCTGATGATTCGTTTACCAATAAAATAGTTCCGAACTGCTTAAAACATATTTGCTAATATCTAAAACATATAATATAGCAGCTGAGATTTAATAAGCTGTAAGTTATATAGAACATACATGCTGTCTGCCATTTTGGAAAGCCCCCTCCTAAGTCCTCATATTCTGCACACCATATGGCCAACAGTGCAGATCAACAAAAAGGGCCCCCTTCACGGTATCCTGTTCCATTGCTGTGTGCAGCTGCGTACTAGTTCATGTGTGTTGTATTAGGGCAGCCATTTCATCAAGCATGGGCTGCCAATGCATGGTAATAGGGAAAAAAACATACCTGCGCCCTGTTTGAAATGCAGCGCACCACAACACAAGGGACTTCCATTGTAGTGCATTGCAGTGCGAATCCCTTGGCACCCACTGTTCTGCATTGGGGTACCATTCTAAACGCACAATACATAGGTCTGAAGGAGGCCTAAAGGCCAACTTAATTTTATTGACTCCATGCTAACTTAATTTACTTGCACTTACCTTAGCGGGTGATACAGTCCTGAGGCATGTTCACACCATGTCTGGATCAGAGCAGCAAACACAGTGTAGTGCATTTTTACCGCTATTTTGCAGCGGTTTTTGTAGCTTAAATTGGGCTTTCAGGTGCAGTCCAGTGTGTGCCGTGCGTTTTGACGTGTTTTGGGAACGGAAAGCACTGCAAAGGTGTGAACTGTAGCCCAGAAATCACTTAGGGCTTGTTCACACCAAATCTGGACTAGATCTGCCTAAGTTTCTGCATAAGCAGTGCATTGCATTTTGATGTGTTTTTGACATGTTCCAGGCCTTTTTGTTAAGCCTAAAATGGTCTTTAAGTGCGTCCCAGGGCGTTTTTATGCGTTTGCATGCATTTTGGTGCGTTCCAGAGCAGGTAAAATAGGGCATGATGCAGTTTTTCCACATGCTCTGGAACTGAACACTGTGGTGTGAACTAGAGCCCAAATTACCATTGGAATACATTGTATGCATTTTTGATGTGTTCTGTAACTGCTCTGCATGTGCTGCCCGCTCGGTATGAACAAGCCCTTAGAAATACATTGGAATGTGTTTTTGGTCCAGGAGCTAACTGTTCTGGCCTGACAGAATCTGGACATTGTGTGAACAAGCCCTAAAACCCTGCATCATATTGGGTGACACTCAGTTGAAGAAGCCTCCCTGCAGGTTTATAAGTAGACCGCTTTTGCATTTGAGCCTATGAAGCACTCCCTGACACTCGTGACCATGACATTGCATCTCCCTGTCACGCAGCACCCTTACCACTGCACCCCTGACTCTGAACCTTCCTGCCTCCCAGCACCTCTAAAACTGCGCCCCAACACCATAGACACTGCACCTTTCTAGCAGCTAGTAACCCTGTCACAGCATTTTGCATCAATGCTCCCCCTTGTCATCTTTGCATGGATGTGCAGAGAGGAGGAGAAGACTGAGCTTGAAGTTTCCAGGCTTTCTGCCAACTTCCTCCTCCCTCTGGTAACTTCAGCC